AAAAAAAAAAAAAAAAAAAGGAAGATTTTTCTGAGCTATATCACTAAGGGGAAAAAGCAAGATGCAGAACATATGCATGATATGCTGCCATCTAGAAACATATAGTAGACATAAAACATTTAACGTTTATGCATATGCCCGTACATATGTATTTGTACTTGCTTGTGTATGTTTGACGTAACACTGAAAGGATTCACTAAGAGCTCGTAAGCTCGGTTGCCTAGGGAAAGTTTGCTGGTCTTCAAATCCGATCTCCAAAAACTGGAAAAAGTACCTGCAGCAAAGTCTTGCCCATACGGGATCCCTCGCCAAGCATCCCCAGCTCTCGTACTGGCCAGAGATGCTGCTCTGCGCCCCACAACACTCGGAACCGCTCCAGGGGCCCCTCGTTCAAACAGGTTTATCTCCTCTTTGGAAAAAAAAAAAAAACGTAGGGGCCCCTGGCTGGCTCAGTCAGCGGAACATGCAACTCTTGATCTCAGGGTCATGAGTTCGAGCCCCACACTAGGATATCTATTTACATAAATAAACCTAAAAAAATGTATAGACTAACATATATATATATTTTTAAAGTACTTGGATATGTTCTGTTTTTTTCCTATCCTCTTTGGAAAAGGCACTTCAAGTGTACACATACCCGTCCAGCTAATTTCAATCCAAACATGTCATCCTTCTTTTAGAAAACATCACTACTCCCGCACCAATACATCATAAAGGGGCTTCTCACCTGGACCAGCTGCTCCTTCAGTTTGTAGATGGGCAGGCTCTCTCTCTGCTCAATGATTGACATCTGGGTCTTTTTCCCATAAGAAGCTTTGTTGCCCCCAAAGGCATGCTTCTTCCACTCGGGAATGTCATTGGGCATCATCCCAATACCCCTCATATTGGCAGCAATCTGCCTGCCTTCCGCTGCAAAGGAAAACAGGCGACTTAGTATTATCCTCAAGCTACCTCGGTGCCCCCGCCCTCAACATTCAACAAATCCCATTTCCCCAGTTGATCCCTCCTGTCTGCTACCTCTGTGTTCAAGCCACGATCCTCTGTCCTCTGTTAGAAAAGCCTCCTAGGTCAACTCAGGTGTCTATGCTTGCCCCATCCAATCCATTCTGCAGGGCACCCTCAACAATCCCTTGGAAATGCAACTCTGATCGTGCCCTTCCCTGTTTAGACCCTGGCAGCACCTACCAGTGGACTCTAGAATTGAGCCCCAATTCCTAAGTCCTGGCCGCCCCCCCTCATCCCCACCACTCAGCTCACCACTCCAGTCTAGCCAACAGGCCTACTTTCCACCTCACAGCCCCAGCCCAGGACACACGCCCCAAGCCCACCTCATCGCCTCTGACGGACAAAGTCCTATTTATCCTTCAGGTCTCAACTTTCTCAGGGAAGTGACCCCTATTACCTGTGCTTCTTCACACAGCACTGGTCATGATGTGTTTAGTTAAGCTGGCAACTATGTCATTAATCTTCACTTTCCCCACTCAACTATAAGCCTCGTAAGAGAAGGGATCATGTCTACTTACTTCACAGCGTGCCTCAAGCTCCCCAGTTGCCTCACACAAATTACTCAGCACTTGTTACGACTGTATCTGGCAGTTACTTAACATTGACTACACAAAGAACTATGTGAAAAAAGAAGCTTCAAAGCTGTTAGCATAAAAAATTCTGGGGGCACCAGGCTGGCTCAGTCGGTAGAGTGTGCGACTCTTGACCTTAGGCTTGTGAGTTCAAGCCCTACATTGGGTGTGGAGACTGCTTAAAAATAAAATAAAAATAAAAAAGAATTTTTTTTTTTTTTTTTAAGTAAGCTCTACGCCCAGCATGGGGCTGAGATCAAGAGTCAGATGCTTAACACACTGAAGGCTCAGATTGTTTTTGAACAGTCCACATGCCCCTCCCAGGGTCTTACCATCAGGCAGAGGATCAACCCAGTGTTTGTTGAGCCCCATGGGAATAGAATCCATTTCCGCTTCCCGCTGGGCCTGCTTGAGTTCCCGCCTTTCTTTGGCTAAGGCACTCTGCATCATTGCTGCTTGGGAGAGGGAACCATCCGGGTTCTAGTGCAACAGAGGACAAACAGCATTAGGATGAGATCTCTCAGCATGCAGTAAATGTCCAGGAAATAAAATGTAGAGGTTAAGCCCCTTGAATCTAAGAAATGAGACCCACCTGGAAGGATGTTCATCTCAATGTACTAAACTACACTGGAGGAACTGGGGCTGTTGGCTTGAAGATGAGAACCCCAAGAGAGATGGGACACACAAGAAAGGGGTAAGACTCCTGTACGGTCCCAAGAACTAAACTTAGGACCAACATGGCTGTCTCGGTAAGAGAGATTTCGGCTCCGCCTAAAGAAGAGCTAATGATCAGATCCCTCTGAAGATGGAATGGGTCTCCTTAAGGGCTGGCGAATTCCCTGTCACCAACAAGGCTGAGCAGGCAGAAAACCACAGGGGAAGAATGCTCAGAAGGGTGTACAAGCACCGTATGGGTGACTGGGCTGGAAGACCTTTAAAATACCCTTCTCCGAACCTAAAAAGGTATCATAACTTTCCATGAGTTCTTCTCTTCACAGCCCTGCCATCCACAGCACCCAGTGCTATAGCTTTCTACTGAGGGCCAGCCCCAACTGGTCAAGAGAGTCCTTCAAACTGCCTTGGAATCTGCAAGGGCAAAGGCAGTAACAGTAGATCAAGCTCTCCTATTTCCTCCTTTCTTCCCAAAATAGAGCAGAGAGAGAGCAAAAGAATTAAAAAGGCAAAAGCAACAAAGCCAAGTCAATCACCCTTTAAAACAAAAACATTCTAGACCCTGACCAACAGGCAATACTACCTTCCAGCCTGAGTTCTGCTTCCACAAATGTAATAGCCTGCTCTGAAAAATTAACTGAACAGTTACTTTAAGAAAAGAAATTCACTCGGCACACCCAGGTTAGAGGCCCATCATTTCTCACCTTAACAATTTTAATAGGGCTCATGTCCATGCTTTGCTTGGTGTGCCCTCTCAGGAATGGAGGCTCTTCCTCAACCAGTTCAATCTCAAGATCTTCATCTAAAAATCCCCCCAAAAGAAGAAAGAAAAAAAACTTGAGAGAGAAATAACTAATCATTTTCACCAAAACAAATGATTTCCATGGGCACCAGTGATCTTTACAAAGACAGCTCCCAAGATCAAAAAGCCAGCAATTCAAGTGAAACTCTAATAGAGAGAACTGTTTCTCCTGCCCTCCAGGTACTTCTGGGCATTTATGCTCTGACCTAAGAACTGATCAGAGGGGCTACCTTCAAAAGAAGTTAAGCCTGTGGAAAAATGTGGTCTAACATTCTACAGGGTCCTAAGGTGTTTGCCATCCAACTTCATTATGGAGTAACTTAACCCACAACAGACTGACAAAAAAATTAAGTTGAACAACTGGACATAACAAATGTCCACAAGGATGTGGAGCAACAGAAGCCCACACTTATGACAGAAGCGTAAATGGGGGCGGGGGGGGGCCCTGGTTGGCTCAGTTGGTAGAGCATAAGACTCTTAATCTTGGGGTTGTGAGTTCAAGCCCCACGTTAAATGTAAAGATTACTTAAAAATAAAATCTTAAGGGCGCCTGGGTGGCTCAGTTGGTTAAGCGTCTGCCTTCGGCTCAGGTCATGATCTCAGGGTTGTGAGACTGAGCCCAGTGTCAGACTCCATGCATGGAGTCTGCTTGAGATTCTCCCTTTCCCTCTGCCCCTCCCCACACTCACATTCTCTCTCTCAAAATAAATAAAATCTACAAGTACATTTTTTTTAAGATTTTATTTTTGAGAGAGAGTGTGAGCAGGAGTGTAGGGCAGTGGCAGAGGGAGAAGCAAACTCCCTGCTGAGCAGGGAGCCTAATGTGGGACTCGAACCCAGGATCCTGGGATCATGACCTGAGCCGAAGGCAGATGCTTAACCGACTGAGGCACCCAAGAGCCCTCAAAATAAATAAAATCTTAAAAACAAAAATAGAAATACAGAAACAGCTCATATGCCCATCGAAAGTGAAATGGATAAATTATAGTAAATTTACATACAAAAAACACTACAGAAATGAAAACTAAATACAACTATAAAAATCATCATAGATAAATCAAAAGAATGATTAAAAAAAAGAAATTAAGTTCAAAAACCGACTAAACAAGGCAGTGGTTAGAGAGAGTATTTAGATATGAAAACGCTAAAAAAAACCAGGTAAATAATTAACACAAAATTTAGGATGGTGGTTACCCAGAGGAGGAAAGAAGAGCATCTAATCAGAGGGGGACATGTAAGGGTTTCAAAGGTGCAGGTAAAATTCTACATAACCTGGATAGGAGGTACATAGTGTTCAATTATTACTGTTATATAAATTTTATGTCCCATTGTTTCACAATTTTTAAAAACTGTTAACAGACTGAGTTAAAAGTTGTTTCCATGGTAACTCAGAGGTAATCTAATTGGACCCACGGTTTTCAGAACAATTAAGAATATCAGATGAAAAAAGAAAAGAATTATCAGATGAAACTTACTACCCAAATACAACTCTTTATATCCTGAACACGTAACATAGGGGTGGCCTGGGTAGCTCAGTCAGTTGTGTCCAACTCTTGGTTTTGGCCCAAGTCATGATCTCAGGGTCGTGAGACCGAGCCCCGAGTTGGGCTCTGTGCTCAGCAGGGAGTCTGCCTGAGATTCTCTTTCCCTCTGCCCCTCCCCCAACTTGCTCAGCACACACACACTCTCGCTCCCTCTCTAAAATAAATATAATCTTAAAAAAAAAGTATAACCAAAAAGTACAATATATAAATGTCTGTCAGAAAAATGCATTTTCTGCTTCCATCCTGGAGGAACCCTGGTTCTCAGAGATAATGAGTGCTAAGACCTAAGGAACAAATGAGCGAAGTCACTACTTAGATGTAGATGCAGATTAAACTACATCTAAACCACCCTATTCAACTGCTCAACTCGCCCACTGTCTTCTGGATCCATGATCCTGCTCGATCCAAGTAGCTAGTTACCTTCTTCATCATCCACTTTAGGGAGAATGCCAGTCTCTTCATCAAAGTCCGGAAACTCTTCTTTGGAAAGGACATTGGCAGCAATCATCTAGTGAAAGGACAGAAGGCAGCTTTTGTAACCTGCTAGGATCAAAACCCTTCCTTTGTAAGAGTTAATACAGAGGTTCACATAGGAAACCCGGGTTTTTTCTGCCCCGGGACTGCAGGGCCTCAAACATCACCTATTCCATCCCTAGGGGGTACAGCATGGTGCCTAAAAGTAGGGCTCAAGGGTCTCACCCCCAGGAAGTGTTACCTGCTCCTTCCCAGGTTTCCCCAGCACTGTGCACATTCCCGGTTTGTAACATCCAACTGTGACGAGTTCCTCAAGAGTAAGGAACCATGATATTCACCTCTGTAGCCCTAACATCTACTCAGTGCCTGGCACCCCGTGGCTCTGATGTGCACCGACGAGTGGTGAAAACAAGAACCTAAGCGCTTCATTTAATCCCCACAATGCCACCACTGGTCCTGTTTCACAGATGAGGGCACTGAGGCACAAAGAAGTCAAGCAGCTTGGCTCAAGATCACATAGCTAGTAAGCGGCCAGAAATCAGCCCAGGCCATTGAGCTCCAGGGCTCACCCTCCTAACTCTTAGGACATGCAGAAGGACTGTGTGGCCGTAACGGCAAATGGCCCCAACCTGTTTGATCTCCCACTTCTCCGGGTCAGAGATGCGGGTAAGGCGCTTGCGTTCCAGTGAATCATCCTCTACTTCAGGGGCACTGACAAGGGAGAGGTGAGTAGGTCTGTCCGGATTCCTCATGGAGGTCTCCTCATTGGTCTCCCCAACAAGATTTCGTCGTCGATTGGGGTTTAGATCTTCTCCAGTCTCTTGATCCACATCCTAAAGCACATACAAAAATGAGAACTAACTCACTTTCTGTCCTCTTATGTTTCCTTGGCCATGAGATGCAGAAACAAGACTGGATATCTCACTTACCTTCATGCTCAGACTGGTCTTGGTCCCAGTGAAGGACAGTACTTTGACCTTCACCCTCTGGCCTTTGCTCACCACATCAGCCACATTGGCCACACGGCCTTCCCGACGGAGCTCAGAGATGTGCACTAGGCCTTCCCACCGCTTCCTAAGGGAAAGTCACAAACATCTGCAGCATGCCTAAAATATTTTTCCCCAACCGATTTCCACCCTTGTTGGGACTCAACAATAGGAAGTGGTCTTAAATGCAAAAACTTGAGAGAAAAGTACCAAGAAGGTGGTCAAAAAATAAAATAGTGGGGTGCCTGGGTGGTACAGTCAGTTAAGTGTCTGACTCTGTTTTGGTTCAGGTCGTGATCTCAGGGTTGTGAGACTGAGCCCGGCACTGGGCTCCACACTGAGCGTGGAGTCTGCTTGTCCCTCTCCCTCTACTACTCGCCCCACCCCCACACATTCTCTCAAATAAATAAAATCTTAAAGGAAAAAAAAGTCAAATTCTAACAACCTGATATGGTTGATTTGATTAAAGCGGAATTAATCATAACTTTTTAGAATGTGAAAATCCCCAGTGATAAGAGAAATTCTGCCCATCACGGGTGTGAAAGAAGAGTACCAGCCATTACCTTAATCCCTCCAGCTGCACAAAGCATCCAAACTGCATGATGCTGGTCACTTTGCCATTGTAAATGTCTCCGATGGCAGGCTCTTCTGGGGGAGGGCGGTCCACATGCTTATCCCGCCATCTGTCCAGATTCCTCTCCCCATACTTGTCCCGGTCCTTCCTGTCTTTGGGGGGACTCTGACTTCTGCTCCTTGACCGATACCTAGACTTCCCTTTATTCCTCTCCCGGGTCCTGGAGCGTGACCGGGAGCGGGACCGGTGTCTCCTCTTGTGGTCTCTATCACGGTCTCGGTCTCGGTCTCGGTCCCGCTCTCGGTCCCGTTCTCGGTCCCGGTCGCGGTCACGGCTCCGGCTCCGCTTCTTCTTCTTCGTCTTGTCCCTAACAAATCAATAAACACCTGTTTGAAAAAGAAACCAGCCCAATTTCATCTCTGCATCCCCAAGCACCCAGTACAGTTCCACACACGTCAGGTGCCTACTAAGCGTTGAAGTGAATTAGAGTTCCTCTAACTGTGACACCCCTGAAGGCCAATAAAGAATGAGGTCACAAACATATTCAGCCTCCTTCGATCCAGACTTCTATCTTATGGACAACTTAGCATTTGCTGCGTAAATACTCTTTGCAGGAAGCAATGAAGTAGATCTAACAATGTGGTACATGGCCAGTCTAGATTCTGTAAACTTGCCCAAAATTTTGCTTAGTGGGTCCACAAAATTTAACTATCACAGTACCCTAAACCTCCAAAGGCTAAGACACTAAGAACAAACCGGTGCTCAGCATCTCTCTGCTTCTCCTGGCCCGCTGCACTGGGCATCAAGGCCTCCAGTTCCTTCAGGACATCCACAGCGACTTTCACATCATCCTCATCCAGCATGGTCTGTAAGAGCAGTGGCCGCCAAAGTCAGGAGAGGGGGAGAAAATCATGTGAGAATCTGCACTCCAGATCCATCTACATCACTCCAGCGCCTACATCACTGACCACCTTATGTGAAGGAAGCAGAAACAGGTGGAGATTTCGAGCACAATTTGAGAGAGGCAGAAGGAATGAGCAAAGGCTCACTGCTACGTTTAGCAAATTCCCTTTGTCCTTCATACAAGCCTACCGAGGGCAATCAGCCTAACCACCCCTCCTGTGAAAGCATCCAAGTGATGACTGTAAATAGAAAACAGATGTTAAGGGGCACCTGGGTGGCTCAGTCGGTTAAGCGTCTGCCTTCGGCTCAGGTCATGATCTCAGGGTCCTGGGATCGAGTCCCAGAATCAAGTCTGCTTCTCCCTCCCCCCCCGCCCCTCCCCCTGCTTGTGCACTCTCAGGCGCATGTGCTCTCTCTCCCTCTCTTTCTCTCCATCTCAAATAAATAAAATCTCTTAAAAAAATAAATAAAAATAGAAACACTTAAAAAATTAGACCTTCTAACATGTAATAGAGCAAAAAAAATCTAATTTCACATATCAGGTATCTGTTCTAGAGCTATTTCATACTTATTTCATATCCCTAACCACTGCTCCCCACAATTCTCAACCCCATTTCCCTCAAACACCATTCCCTGAACTGTAATACTATTCTACGCATAGTGTGTACTCAGGGAGTGATCCAACACTTTCAATTCAAAAAATATATGACAATGGACACAAACTTAAAGCTAGGAACTAATGAGACAAAAGGGACAAGAATGGGGGAAACACCCAGGAATAGCAGACATTCCCAAAATGGTATCAGTACCCGGACAGAAGGGTTGTCTGGCTGGCAAAGGACCGGGAAGAGTTCCTTCAGCTTTTCTTTTCCGGTTTTGGGTTTAACAACTGGATCTTGTTTCATCAAAGAGCATAAAGGGGTTAAAAAAAGAAAAAGATATATTTAAGATTTTTAACAAAGCACCTCAATATCAGATTTGCATCAAACTAAAAACTGAGTATGGCATTTTTCTACAAATTACTCACATATTACTATAAATATAATTTAATTTCCTAAAAATAACACTGATGACAAAACCCTCGACAAACAATCTGGGCATGTAGCGGAGGGTGTGTTGGGGGGATACATCAGAATTCACTTGGTTAGTTATGTCTTATGAGTTTAATTTTAAGTCATTTGTAAAACTTTACTAGACTGTGTACTTGGCTCTGGACAGGGAAAGAACACAATTTACAGAATGCTCACACTAAACCGTTCTGGAGGCTAAGCGCAGCCAGACACTCACCTTTGCTAGTAGAAGGCTTTGCTGGAGGCCGCATGGTTTGTATGAGGCGCAGCAAGTTACTAATAAGAGAATCCTTCCAAAAGAAACAGAACAAAAATTATCAGCCCCTGAATTATTGCCTAAAAACACTGGTTTTAGGGGCACCTAGGTGGCACTGTCCGTTGAGCATCTGACTCTTGGTTTTGGCTCAAGGTCATGAGATTGAGCCCCATGTCAGGCTCCATGCTCAGCTTGGGTTAAGATTCTCTCTCTCCCTCTGCCTCTCCCCCAAGCACACATGCGCTTTCTCTCTCTCTCACTCTCTCTAAAATACATCTTAAAAAAAGAAAAAAACTAAGAAAAGGTGGTTGTATACCTGAATGGAGCTAAATGGAACAAATGAAGCACACAGTATCAATTTGATGGGCATGAAACTAGCAAAATAGCTTCAGAGAAAGCTGATATTTAGGACTGTTTGGGGGGGGAAGTAATTTAGTTCCATTCAACCATTTTTGTTTTCCACTGTTTAGAATTACTTTCAAAACCTAGACTCTTCTGTTTTTGACTTCAGATCCATAGAACAAGAATATAAACACACATAAAGACTTAATGATGGAAATCTTGCCCCATTTTCCTAGAAAGGTATCACAGGAAATCCGGTTATATCACCACTGCTCAGTGGCATGAAAACATTACACACTTAATGGTTTCTTTGATTGGTATGTACAAATTATCTCCTTTCTCCATCAAAATCCTATGTGAAATCCTATCAGACATTAAAACAAAACAGGGGTCTCCAGGTACACATACCGTGAATTCGGCACCATTTTTGACCAGAGAAGCCTTAAAAGTATCAAAGGTGGTATTTTTCTCAGCAAGACTGATCACAAATTCAGCTGCAAAGGAGAAAAGGGATTAAAACTGGAATGGAGACTAGTAAAAAAGCACTTTCAAGTACATTAAAAGCAAAACCAATTAGCCTATCCAGCAGTCATAAAAACCAAAGAGCACCATCCAGTGAGAGTAAAGAGAATTCAGAGTACCAAGATTATCCAGGTATGTTCCAGTTAATTTTTAGAAATGCAAAGAAGAGGGAGTCTGGGTGGCTCAGGTGGTTAAGCGACTGCCTTCGGCTCAGGTCATGATCCTGGAGTCCCAGGATCGAGTCCCGCGTCGGGCTCCCTGCTCGGCCGGGAGTCTGCTCCCCCCTCTGACTCCCCCCTCTCGTGCCCTCTCTACCTAATTCCCTCTCTAAAAAAAATAAAACCTTTAAAAAAAAAAAAAAAGAAAGAAATGCAAAGAAGATACTACTAGGGCACCTGGGTGGCTCAGTTGGTTAAGCGACTGCCTTCAGCCCAGGTCATGATCCTGGAGTCCCGGGATCGAGTCCCGCATTGGGCTCCCTGCTTGGCAGGGAGTCTGCTTCTCCCTCTGACCCTCTTCCCTCTCGTGCCGTCTCTCTCTCATTCTCTTTCTCTCAAGTAAATAAATAAAATCTTTAAAAAAAAAAAAAAAAAGAAGAAGATACTACTAGAGAATGGCTCACCAGGCCCTTCAGTGCATCGAAGGGAGAAATATCTCCCTTCCTCTCCAGATCATCATACTCTTCTCATGAAGACTAGCAGCTGTGCGCATTGCCATACAGACTCCAGAGGTAACAATGCTCAAAAGCAAGAGCCCTCCTTCCCCACCCCTCATGGACGTACACAGTAGGATGCTTTCTACAGTTTCAGGAAGGTCAGACCCAATCCATCCACGAGAGTCAGGCAGCTGCTGGGTGGTACAGTCTCCAAGTTGACCAAAGACTCACTTGCCCCCCAAATTTTTCTCTACAAACCTGCCCAGTGTTTGAAATGTCTAATATTAGAGCTATTTATTAAGTAAGAGACTGACGGAAGAAAAGTGCATTTTATGAGGGGCTGAGACAATAAGCCTCACGCTGTGAAGAAAATGGTAATGATTTCATCCTGATTTTAAACCTAAAACATAACAATAATAGCATGGGGGCACCTGGGTGGCTCAGTCATTGGGCGTCTGCCTTCGGCTCAGGTCATGATCCCAGGGTCCTGGGATCAAGTTCCACATCAGGCTCCCTGCTCCACGGGAAGCCTGCTTCTCCCTCTCCCACTCCCCCTGCTCGTGTTCCCTCTCTCGCTGTGTCTGTCAAATAAATAAAATCTTAAAAAAAAAAAACAACAAACAATAATAGCATGGAAGATCTGGATAACTAATATAAACTAGTGCCACCATACCAATTCCGAGCTGGCATTTGCCTTTACCTTTTTGATGACATTAAGTAAAAGCCAAATGCCATGGGGCTACATGGACACAGCTTATGCGTAACAATGCCAACGGTTAAGGCTTTGTGACCACCTGCCACATGCCCAGCGAACACTATGCTAAGTGCTTCACGTGAGTTATCCCCAGGATCCTCACAACAACCCTCATTGGTAGGCACCACTATTGTCCTTTTTTTTTTTTTGCAGATGAGGAGGCTAAGGGTTTGAGATACTGACCTACCCAATAACAACTGGTGGAGACAGGATTGGAACCCAGGAAATCTGACTTCTGAGCCCACATTCTATAGAGAAATGTGGAGGTTAAAGTAAGCCACGTGGTGCTAGGCATGCAAAGCTCTAGAGACTATTCCAAAGCAATCAGCAGCATATTCACACTGCAGCTGTCATTAATCAAGTTTTTTTTTAATTTTCAGAATTATATGGGGGCATCATTAAATTAACTGAACTATCAAGTTTTTTTTTTAAGTGAGCTCTACACCCAGTGTGGGGCTGGAACTCACGATCTGGAGATCAAGAGTTACATGCTTACCAAGTGAGCTAGCCAGGTGCCCCAAAGATGAATTAGTGGTTAAAAACAAGTTCAGTGCTGAAAACAGGAAAAATAATGACACTGATTTAAGTGATAATACATCAGGGTGCTTGGGTGGTTCATTCGGTTAACCATCTCACTCTTGATTTCAGCTCAGGTCATGCTATCAGGGTGGTGAGATCGAGCCCTGCATTGGGCTCTGCGTTGGGTGTGGAGTCTGCTTAAGATTTTCTTTCTCCCTCTGTCCCTCCCCACCAATCTCCCTAAAAATAAATAAATAAATAAATAAATAAATAAAAATGATAATACATTAAGGCCAAAATCAAAAGAATCAAGTCAATAAATAAAACGTAAAAGTAGCAAATATACACCTTTTAGTTATTAAAACCACTCTGGCAATTTAGTTTCAACAGAACAATACTATCTATCACATTTTTCCAACTTTAGTTACTTTAATGTTACTAGTTTTATAAATCTGTGTTTAACACTGTGATACTGTGATTTCTAAGAAGAAATATGTGTTTGGTCTTCATCCCCTTTCCAGGCACAGCACTCCTAAAAACCCTTGGAATTTCAGAAGTGTGGAAAGTGAAAAAGGTCTTCTGTTACATTAAGGAGATGACTTTAGGAAAGCTCCTAAACAAGGGTGAGGCTGAGAGGGCTGGTTGCCAGGGAAACCAACCACGTGTTTACAGGCTGGAACTTTCAACCCCACCCCTGACCTCTGGAGAGGGGGGAAAAGGGGCTGGAGATTGAGTTCTTTTACCAATGCCCAACGATTTAATCAATTATGCCTTTTTTTTTTCAATTATGCCTATTATAATGAAGACTCCACAAACACCCAAAAGGACTGAGTATGGAGAACTAGTGGGGAGGTGAACACATGGAGATTTGAGGACAGTGGGGCACTTAAGAGAGCCTGGAAGCTCCTCAATCTTTCCCACATACCTTGCCCTATGCATCTCTTCCATCTGGCTGTTCCGGAGTTATATCCTTTTATAATAAACCGGTAATCTAGTAAGTAAAATGTTTCTCTGAGTTCTGGGATCCACTCTAGCAAATTAATCAAACCCAAGGTCGGGGGGGTCATTGGAACCTCTGATCTTAGTGACTGGATCAGCACAAGTTGACAACCTGACCTTGCAAATGGCATCTGAAGTTTGAGGTGGGGCAGTCTTTTTTTTTTTTTTAATATTTTTTATTTATTTATTTCAGAGAGAGAGAGAATGAGAGATAGAAAGCACGAGAGGGAAGAGGGTCAGAGGGAGAAGAAGACTCCCTGCTGAGCAGGAAGCCCGATGTGGGACTCGATCCCGGGACTCCAGGATCATGACCTGAGCCGAAGGCAGTCGCCCAACCAACTGAGCCACCCAGGCGCCCCTGAGGTGGGGCAGTCTTATAGGTCTGAGTCCTTAACCTGTGGGATCTGATGCTATCTCCAGGTAGATAGTGTCAAAACTCAGTTCAATGCAGGATACCAGCTGGTGTCACAGAACTGCTTAACAGTACTGGCAAAAACACACATCACAAAGGGTGTCAGGGGCGCTTGGTTGGCTTAGTCGGAAGAGCGTGCAACTCTTGATCTCAGGTTTGTGAGTTCAAGCCCCACGCTGGCCATAGAAATTAAATAAATAAATATTTTTAATAAATAAATGGTGTCAGAATTACAAGCAGAAGAAAACGTATTTGTGGTTTATTTGCAAATTAAATGGGGTCTTCAGTTACATATGGGCTAGAAAATTATGGAGTTTATACCTCATTTTATTTTTGTATATAATGAGGTTAACATCAAAACGATTTAACACTGGCTCAGTAAACGTTTGCTGAACGAAGGAACACACAACCCAGACAGCAAACTACAAGATTGTCACTCATTACCATCTAAAAGAGAAGGAGAATGAAGAAAAATGATACAGGACAAGCACATCTTGACTGGGAAGCAAGAAAAAAGTGAACTAAAACATACTGGCAGCAGGGCTCCTTCCTAGGTGCAACACGGTAACCCCGAGAAAAACACATCATCCCCATTTCACAGATGAGGAAAACAGCTTCTGGGACATTAGGTATCTTACTCAAGGTCACACATCCAACCTCCCTGACCCCTTTTGTCACATGCCCTTTCCCTTCCATCTCTCCCGTTGATGACCTCATCTTCATTTAGAAAACACAACAATTAAATGGCAGTCTGTCCCTCATCTTCCTACCACCAATCCTGAAACCTATCTGCATCTACGACCACATTCTCTGTCCTCCTTCCTATTAAAATGGATCAAGCATCCCTGTACCTCTCAAAGGTCAACCCCTCCACTCATGCTCTTGATTCCATCCATCTCTTTGCTTTCATAAGGACTCCACCTGCCTGTGGCCTTAGCTCTAGCCCCCTGGCCTTTTTCAGTTCCGCGTTTTGGTACATTCTGTCCCCAAACGCCTAAAAAGTGGTTGAGAATAGTTAAAGGCAGACTTCAAAAGGCTTGGGATTCCAGATTGGGCTCACATTTGATATATAATTTTGAGGAGGATTACTTAATTACTCAGAGCCTTGTTTTCTTAATCGAAAAACAGATAATACTATCTCATAGGGTCGTGTGAAGACCAAGTAAGATAATGTAAGTAAAGCACCGTGCATAGTATCTGCCCTATCAATAAAGGTCGGCCATCATGATCGTCATTACAGTGCGGCTGCGGCTGCTGTCGTTGTTAACGCTGTTTAATTAACTAGGACGGGGGAAGCAAGGAGCAGGAGCGACAGCCGCTCCGGGTTTCACTGACAGCTCTAGGCAATGGTTTGTAACAGCTCAGCCTGGAGGGTTCTCATGCGGGGGCCACGGCCGCGGGTTCCCTGGGCCCAAGTATCTGCGACAGAGAGGGAAAGAGACTCACAGGGACACACGCAGTCAACCCATCAGCCCCATTTCTCCCTCCGCTTCCCTCGACCCCAAGCCCAGAGGCCGCAGGGGCCTCCCCGGGCTTACCCAGATCCTTGTCGTTGATCCCCAGGTGATTGTCCAGCTCGGTGCAAACTTTCGACACTAAAGACAGATACTCGAGTTTGGCGAGTTCTTCCGCGGGGCCTAGGTCTGTGGTGGTTACGGCTCCCGCCAGGGCCACAACCACCGCCATGCCTACGGCCGCCACCAGCCAGTTCTACTGCCGGCCTTCTGAGCTACGCCAGGTCTGCTCAAGCTTCCACTTCCGGGTCGGCGCACGTCCCTTTTGTTTACAGTAAATTGAAAACTTCAGGAACTTCCCATGACGAAACCGAAGAATCATAGAGATCAGACAGGAAGTGCTTAAGGAAGGAACGGCCAGGTAGGTTACCCTACACGCCGGCAGCGCCCTCTACAGGACAGCGAGATTCTCAATCGGCTCTCAGGCCCGGAAACGTTCACTTTCAGCGTTCTCCCACCTGACGTCGGCAGAGGGCAACCGTGGCCTGTGCAAGGGGCGCCAAGGAGGTCACGACCCCCACGCCTCCTGCGCGCCTGCGCTTTGAAAAAAGGAACTTGGGCGCCTGGGTGGCTCAGTTGGTTAAGCGACTGCCTTTGACTCAGGTCATGATCCTGGAGTCCTGGAATCGAGTCCCACATTGGGCTCCCTGCTCAGCAGGGAGTCTGTTTCTCCCTCTGACCCTCTTCCCTCTCATGCTCTCTCTCTACCATTCTCTCTCTCAAATAAATAAAATCTTAAAAAAAAAAAAAAGAAAAAAGGAACCTGAATTCAAGCCTGGAAAAGGCCAAACTTGCTTTATAGCGGTTCCCTCTATTCCTCTATTGCGTCTTCGTGGCTCGTGACTATCTGGAGCGATTCTGTAACAAACCAGTAGGCATGGGGCGCCTGGTTGGCTCAGTCGGCTAAACGTCTGCCTTCGGCTCAGGTCATAATCCTGGGGTCCTGCACATAGAAAACTACAAATGCCAGTTACTATAATCCTAAGGGCGAGATAATGGTCACTGTAAAATTCATCTGTCAGGTACAGATCCCCTCAGTCTGAGACCCCAGAGAACCACCTGGCTCATCTCTTGTGAAAACCGCTTCTCAACTCCGGATTTTCCCGTGCCAATCAATACCCTCAGAACTTGTGCCCCCAAAAAGCAGCTGTGCTGTGAACCTAAGGTCCTAAGCTGGGGTCTCCCAACTTCTATTTCTGGTCTCCATTTTCCTTTGCAACAGCTCTAAGGTGAGGTAAGGATTTTCCCACACTGCACTGCTCTGTGTAATGAATAAGGAAATGAAGGCACCCGGAGTTAGTGGCCCTCCAATCAAGCAAAAGGGAGGGAATCAGACCCTTTTGCTTTTAGCTTCAGGCTACATTTACACGGCTGCACCTTTGGACTCTGTCCCTCCAACAACTCACCATGGACTAAAAAAATGACAGCGAAACCCCTGGAGCAGTAGCTCTCACTGACTCCAAGAGTTCCATGTTTCCAAGTTCCTAAGGAATCAGTGCTGCACTGATTCTTTTTCCTCATGAATGGAAAGGAAAATCCTGCTCTTGATTCAACGTGCTCAACTTGCCAGCTTGGAGTTAGGATATTAGGGACTTATTCCATTTGACTTCTTTTCTCTGTGCTTCTCTGCTTTTAGAAATTTTGTATTTATATTCTGCTTTCCTCCAATATTTAACTGGAAGGGGAAAACATGGAGTTTGTTTTGTCTTAAAAGCGCTGTGGGGGAAAGGGCTATAGAACCACAATGGGTGGTGGTAGTAGCAGTAAGTACTGTAAGAATGCTTAGGATTGGGGAGCCTGGGTGGCTCAGTCAGTTAAGTGCCTGCCTTCAGCTTGGGTCTTGATCCTGGGGTACTGGGGTCAAGCCCCTAGTCCAGCTCCTTGCTGGGTGGGAGGTCTGTTTCTCCCCCTCCCCCTGTTCGCATGTGTGTGCGCGCTCTCTCTCTCTCTCTCAAATAAATAAATAAAATCTTAAAAAAAAAATTATCTCTCTCCCTCTGCCCCCCTCCCCTGTGTGCTCTCTCTCGAATAAATAAATAAATAAAGTTTAACTTTTAGCACTCTTAGGATTATTTGGGAATCATTGAACATACGTCTCAACAGTAAATATTAACAGCAAAACTTACTAAATTTTATTTACATATACATGTTTTCAAGAGTGCAAGTTTGTTACACGATACACATATTTCCCGCAACACCAAGGAATTTTTTGAAGCCAAAGGAAAAGAAATAAAAGCAAAGATAATGGATAACTTGACAGCCCAAACACAGATGCACATGGGATCTTCCTCTCCCCTTAAGAGACACTGAATCAAATGCAGTCCAAAAGTGGATGTATTCTAATTGTCCTTTGGTTATTATATATATTATATTAAATATTATATATCATATATAATATTTATAGTGTTATATTAAATATTATATCAGATAAATACATTTAATTGCCCATTATTATTATACTGCTTTCCTTAGATAGCTTCCATGTGGCCCTTGTAACACAGCCATTGACAGTTACCTGTAAATAATTTACCTTCACCAAAAAATATGTTAAAACAAATAGCCTATGCTTCATCACCACCCACACCACCACCCATTATGGATAAGAAATGATCTCTCACCACCTTCTTTGTAGTAACAAAGACTTTGCTTTGATGCCTATTCCTAGACTGATATATGGGTTGGGCCCTAACCGCAAACCCCGCATTATTTCTGCTCTGTCCCAGAGACTAGTCACAGCTGCTGGCATTTGGGTAAGAAGTTGGGGCAGGTAGGAAGCAGAGAAGTAGTGAACCTCTTAACAATCCTGGATTGGATGGGGGAGGGCAGAAATCACCTAAGTGTGTGTAGCTGAAAGATGGCATCCTCAGGGAAGTTGGTGAGAAAAATCACAGGACTTCCTGTCTCCAAAACAAAATGGTATTGCTGCAACCAAGACAGCCCTAGCTTTTTCTGCTGGAGTAAAACTCAGACCTTAGGGGAAACACCTCTGCTCTGGAAGGCAAAAATCAGAATGATTTGCTTCTAAGCATATAACTGCCACTCAGCTATTCATTGTTATTAATGCAGGGGGACTTCAGAAAAAATGGCCCCTCCTTCATTGCTCCACTGAGGCCCTGACCCAGCCTAAAGACATCGGTGAAAATGGCCTAAACCCTTTCATCTGAGGTCCTTCCTGATAGGGACAGGACCCCAGAAAAAAATGAAGGAGTGAAATCCTTCTTTGACTTTTCCCCCAAATTCTTCTCCAGATTTGAATCAATTCATCAAAATACTTTGGACCTGGGCACTTTGGTAGGTTCTGGAAAGGACCCTTAGAGATCTGGAAGGTGGTGGGAAGCCATCAAGGAAGAACTAGAATACTCTAAATGCTGAACTCGTGGCTGGTTGGCAGAGCTGTGTTTACAACTCTGGTCTCTCAGCTGCCTAAACATGAGGGCAGGTGATTGGAAGACAAAAAACAAAGCAGGTCTGCTCCCGGTCATCTGGGGGCAGTTGGGGGAGGGGAGGGGCCAGCCCAGGGCCAGGGTCATCTCACAGGACAGTTTCTCCTGCTGCAATCCATTATTTGTCAGCCTTATCTTTTTATGCCCAGGCACAGCCTCAATTTTGCCCTAAATGTCCCTGACCTAAAATTCCCTCTCTTGTTAGGCCATCAACCTACCTTTTGGCTGCAAATTCTCCAAAGCTTTATAGCATTAGGCAAAAAATATTCCTCCTCAACAGGTCTTTCTTTCTTTCTTTCTTTCTTTCTTTCTTTCTTTCTTTCTTTTTTTTTTTTTTTTTTGTCACAATCAAGGTTCCTCCTTCCTCACTTTCAGGGCTATCTTAAAAATATCAGGAAAAAAGAAAAAAAAAATCAGACACCCAGACACCCTTATGAGGTGAACTTTGTAAAAAAAAATTATTCTCCCATCTCCACTTCCCCATCTTCTGTGAGAATGGTAAGGAAGTTTCACATACTTATTTACGAGTTAATCACCCTTTAAGTGACCCTGCTTCTTAAACTTAATTTAAGTTGGTTTTCTTTTTTGGGGCGCCTGGATGGCTCAGTCATTAAGTGTCTACCTTCGGCTCAGGCCATGGTCGCAGGGTCCTGGGATCGAGCCCCGCATCGGGCTCCCTGCTCCGCGGGAAGCCTGCTTCTCCCTCTCCCACTCCCCCTGCTTGTGTTCCCTCTTTCTCTGTGTCTCTGTCAAATAAAGAAATAAAATCTTAAAAAAAAAAGTTGGTTTTTTTTTAAGTTTATTTATTTTTTAGCAATCTCTACACCCAACATGGGGTTTGAACTCATGACCCCGAGATCAAGAGTCACATGCTCTTCAGACTGAGCCAGCCAGGCACCCCTAGGTTGGTTTTCTTTAAGAGGAAACTTTTAAAAGTCAGTATTGCAAGTATGGGCAACAAATTGACAAGATACATTAGGCTTCTTTTTTCTCTAACGATTTTTGTAACCTCTGGTTTCTGATTGAGGTAATTCTTTAGGAACTTTTAAGGTTTTCCTCAGGAGAGATGCTAAAAGCAAGCCCAACCAAGAAGCGTATTGATGGGAAGAGACCAGAATAAAAGAGGGGCCGTCCCATTTGCAAGCCAAACATGTAAACAGCTGTCCGGTTAGTCCTAGACCAAAGATCTGGGTGAATCTGCATGTTCTTGCCACTAACTCAAAAAACTGCTGCTCTGGAAACTCCACTTCTTCTTCCAAGTGAAGGAAGATGAGTTTCCAGCGTGGCCTGCATCCAAAATCTGGAGTGCCCCTCAGAGCAAGCTATGCAAGAGTCCTTCCCTGGCTCTCCAGGCCCTGAGCCTCAGGGAGGAGAGCTTTGGTGGGAGCGTAGCTGCTGCCTGCCCCCTCCCCTCCCCCCCATGCCTAGAAGAGCTGCCTCTCCATTTTGGGTTTACAGCAATTATGGTGATTTATGCCTCCAGAGTGAAAATTAGCAATCTGGTGAGGTAACTAAAAATGAATGCATCTCTTCCTGGACTTCACTCCACCCAGCTGAGCCACCCCATAAAACCAGCATATGGGGCAATTAGAGAGCCGAGCTCCTGCTTTCAGAGCTCAGCAGAAGGAGGCAGAGTTCCGGGGCCCGGGCTCCCCTGCCTGGTTCAGTAGTGATCACAAGTCCTAACAAGCATCCGCTCTGCCCCTCTCTAGTGCTCCAGTCATCTTGT